TCTACCAGCAGGACATTCTAGCATCAGCACTGTAAGGTTGAGGGAAAATGCCTAAAGGTTTTTCAGGCCATAATAGTCACTACATTTCCGACATCAAAACAGACCAGAGCCTGGCATATCATGATTAATGGAGTCCAGTGTCCTGATGTCTTGTGAACAGTGCTATTCAGTCAATGCACCTGTACTCTTCCCCACTAAGACACTGACCACCTTTAATGGCCCAGGGCCACCAAGAGGATGATGTTTTTAACTGAGAAAAAGTAGGACAATATGGTGACTTTCAAAAGTCTAAATACACTGAATTTTCTGCCAGGCATGGTGGCACGTGCCTATAATCCCAGTATTCTGGAGGCTGAGGCAAGAAGATTGCCCACATAGAAAATGTAGCAAAACCCTGTCTTATGAGCCCCTCCACAAAAAAAAGAGCTGGGAATTTAGCTCAGTGTGCCACCAGCTGCCTCACAAGTGTAAGGTCCTGAGTTCAATCTCCAGTACCAAAAAAAAAACAAAGAAAGAAAAAAGTAAATATACAATTTTAATTTTTGATAGTGTATCTTTAAAGTTTGAGTCAAAATATTTCTTTAAATATAAATGATGGTGATGATGGTTTTATGTTTTAGTTTAGTTTGATTACCCTTTGCAGGTAAAAATAAAGATCTGTCCTATCTGTAGCAGTCTACCATTTCTTCTCCCCAGGCCGAACACTTTTTCAATTCTGAGATCTCTTGCTCTACTGTAAGGACAGGGTCATCTGCAGAGCCTCATCAGGTGATCTGCCCTCATCTCTGAATGATTATCTGGATCACAGAAATTCCTAATCTAGCCTTAAACATTTTAACAACACTTTGGGATATGCAGCCTACTCCCAAGTACAGACGTAAATCTACCACCACTCCCCAAAGCTCAGATAGACTTCCAATTGTCCTGTACAATCTGCTCCTTTTCTCTTTACATTTCCAGACTCTGACCTCCTGCACCCATCTCAATGAATGGCTCCAAGCCACCCAGTCAGGAACTGAGAACCCAATCCTAGACATTCCTCTGCTACCTCCTCTTTAGGTATGAAATCACATCAATCCATCAAAATGTGGCCGGAGTTCATCTCCTGCTATCAGTTTTTACTTGCCTTTCAATTCTCATCTTTCACTTTGTAATTGTACTTACCCTCTATTTGTCTGTCTGGTCAACAAATATTATTGGGTATCTATAGTACGACAAGTAAAATGTTCGATGCTATGTTTCTGTGGACTAAATAACTAAAATGCAGCACCCCTATCCTCAAGGAGCTCACAGACTAACAGAGAAAGACAGGCTTGTAAAAATAAATAAAATGTCAGAGATGGAGCAAAAATGATGAAATTCTTATACTTGTCTACCTCGGAGTCAGGCAGTATGGGGGGGCCGGATATTGTAGCACATGCCTGGTAGCATATGGGGAGTACATATGATAGCACATGCTAGTATTTGGGAAGCTGAGGCAGGAGGATTACATCAAATTTGAGGCCAGCCTGGGCTGCACAGATTTCAAGGCCAAACCAGACTATATAGTGACATGGGGGGGGGGGGCGACAGTAATTTCTCAAAAGCAGACCCGATGATCTTTTGGGGAAAGGAGCTGCTGAGGTTTGAACCCAGGTTTTTCACTGAACTACATCCCCAACCCTTTTTATTTTCATTTTTATTTTTTACTGTGAGGCAAGGCCTTACTAAGTGGCCCAGGTTGGGCCTGAACTTGGGATCCTTCTGCCTCAGCCTCCACACAACCGTAGTCCTGTATGAGGGTCATACAGGACTCACCTTGTTGCGTAGGTTTCCAGTTTCATCGTCCATCTGCTTCCCCTCTTCCACAGGCATCCTAAGACTCAGTCTCATCAAACTATTTGTAGTGGCCTGGATTCTGCCACTTCTGCCCTGCTGTCCCGCTCTCCGGTCCACAGCAGACCTCAACACCAGCAGCTGCCATTCAGTGCGCGTCTACGGCGTACTGGCATCTGGCCTATGTCATCTCAGTCGTCACGAAGACTCTGTTGTGTCAGTGATCTCCTCAGTTACCAGTGGGGAAAAGGAGACCAGAACCCGTGAGGATAACTAACTCAGGTTGACAGCCAGAAAATGACAGTGCCAGCATTCCAACTCAGATATCAACCCCAAGTCATTGCTTTATCAGCTCTCCTCTCTGGTCCACCTGAGAAACTCTCCGCTCCAATGTCATTTCCTTGACAAAGCCCTTCTGGGCCTGCCTGGTCAAATAATTGTTTTGTGCTTCTCTGGTGGCTGGCACTTTTCTTATGACCCTTATTATCTGTGCTGCCATAATTTGTTTACTTGTCTGTCTCTCCCAAGAACCTGAGAGCACCTGCTCACAGTGATTATGTGCAATCCATCTCTAAATCCTCCATACTTAACTCCCTACTGGCATAAAATTGACATTTAATAAGCATTCGTTGAGTGATGATTAATAAATGCTTCCCAACCTCTTATCTCAACTTGGAGATAAAAACTCTGAGAACACAATTTTTTATCTACGTATCATAACAGTCAGGCGGGAACATCAGATAGCCCCCGTTGGAAAATGCAACCTTAGAGGAAGAAAAAAAAAAAAGTAGCACTACAGTAATGCAGAAATAAGAGCCTCAAAATCCAGATTCCTGGAAATGAAGTCACAACCAAGAAGCCCTTCTCTGGGACCAAACAGAATCTAGTAGGAAGTGCTGCCATCAAAAGCTATTTCATTCTGCAGTGACTTGAGCCAATATATTGAGGCTAATGGAAATTCTAGAAGCAATCTCTTGGAAATAAAAAGGAAAATGCTTAGGTAAGCAGAATGCGCTTATATATATATATATTTAGACATTTTAAAAATGATATCCAAGTTATGTAAATGGCACACTAGTGAGTCCAACAAGAATTTTTATTAACCATTCAGCTGCTTTTATATGTTCTTAGGGATTTATAAAGTCAGCCCAACATACGGGCTGTTTATGTATTTATGCAGTACTGAGGATTGAACCCAGGGCCTCTGCACTGAGCTATATTCCTAGGCCTTTTCATTATTTTTATTTTGAGACAAGGTCTCACAAAGTCTCACAAGTTGTCCAGGCTGAGTTCAAATTTGTGATCCTGCCTCAGCCTCCTGGAGTGCTGGAATTACAAGGGTGTGATACCATGGCTGGCCTACTTATTTAAGAACCCAAGAGTACTCAGTCACTAAGCTATATCCTCAGCCCTTTAAATGGTTTCTCATTAAGTTGCCTAGGCTGGCCTCAAACTTGTAATCCTCCTGCCTCAGCCTCCCGAGTAGCTGAGATTACAGATGTGTGCCAGCTAGCACTCATAGTCAACATACAATTTCTCATTGTACCTGGGCTATGCAGAAAGATTTTTTTCTTTTTTTTTGAAGAAAGGGTCTCACTATACAGTTGAGACTGACCTAGAATTCACTATGTAGCCCAGGCTGGTCTCGAACTCACAACAATCCTCCTGTCTCAGCCTCCCGAGTGCTGGGATTACAGGTGTGTGCCATCATGCCCCAGTACAGAGAGACTCTTTATGGGGTATCTTGGATCAGAAGCTCTTAAACTTTGAGTTATAAGCTTTCTGGAGAGCAGATGAAAGCCACAGATACTCTTCTCAGGAAAAGACAGAGATACACTGTATCAGACTCTGCCCACAAATGGAGAAGGCTCACAGACTCTTCACTGAGCTTATCCAGAGACCTTGATGGTGCACAGGCCCATATGGAAAATGCCTGAACTAAACTCCCTGCAAAGGGCTCAGATTAAAGAAGACTGGAGAAGGGCTGGGTTAAAATGGCATCAGTTTCTATAACCAAGTGTGTCCTGTAGCTGAGGTCCTGAAGGCTAATGCTGACTCAGAATGATCCAGCCCCAGGTCTGAACCCACACCTGATGAGATGAACTGTGATTGGGGCCAAGGGATGGATGCCTCTTTCCACCTCCATTTGCAAATGCAGACATAGAAGCACCTCTCCAAACTAACCACGGAACTGCCCAACTCCCCCAAACCACACCTGGCCCCGGCACTCACCACAGCCATTCCTTGAGGGCCAGCAGGTGGAGAACACATAACTTACTACATCAAGTTAGCAGGGGTGTGGGGCCCCTGCTTTGCAGGCATCTCAGGCACCAGCATCCCAACCAGACAGCAAATTGCTTGCAGCAAATCATCCTGGATCTAAACACAGTCGCAGATGCCTGCTCCTGTGGCTGCCACCGCGCAATGCTAAGGGGACACAGAACCTTGCCCATCCCGTGTGCAAAGTGACAGAGGGAAAAGACCAAGAGAAGGAGAAGCAGAGAGAAAAAATCCAGGGAGATCTGCTCTCATTTCATTTCCTCTCCCTGGCTTTTTTCTTCAAGTATGTGACACATCTAAGCTGGATAAAACAACAGATGTGTGCAATTTCCACCTTTTTGAAGACGAGGAGCTGAGCCCCTAGAGAGGTAAAGCAACTTGGATCCAATTGCACAGTGTGTGGGGGTGGGGTGAGAAGCTGAGAATCCAGTTCTGCTCTGCGGTTCCCAGACACCTGTCCCAATGGGTACAGCACATTACTGCCTGCAGCACCATGACTTCTGCGGCCTCCTGCCTCACTCTCTCTTGCACACACAACACAGGGTACCCAACCTGCTCCAGAAGTCTGAGCCTCTTCGACTCTTCCATCTCTGAGAGAAAGGAGACCCTGCCATCAGGCCAGAAAGCAAGCCCCCAGCCAGGACCGAGGTGTCCTGCGAGGACTACAGGTGTCTCCCTGCACACAGGGGCTGGGCAGGGGTTGTGCAGACTCAGCTTCCTTAGCTGCCCCATCCACTCCCAATGGCTCAAGCTCCTTGTTTGGAAAAATACACAGAAAAACAAATTTCCAATTGCAAGCAGGATGCAGGCGAGACAGACAGCCACCTCAGGTACGCCCTCTAGCGTGTAGCCGCACCGGCATTCACACCCAGGCACCAACCATCCCCAGAGCCGCCAGACCCGCCTGCCATTGGGGCATCGAGGAGCTGGGGGAGGGGACAGTGGCAGCATCTGCCACTCAGATACCAATCCCTCGCCAATCCCAAGGCCAACATCTGCTGCAGGATGAGAGGCAGGCTCTCCTGCGCACTGTCCACACCAACCCCACCCACCCCTTATACAACAGGCAGAGGGAGGGGAAGCAGATAGAGGGTGAAGGGAAGTGTGGAGGTGAGACAAACGGGTCCTGAGAGTCATGCGGTGCAGGGAAGAGACAGAGGAGGACACAGGAAGGAGCAGGATGACTAACAAGAGACAAGAAGAAGATAAACAAAAACGAAAGGAAAGCTAACGAAACAGACACAGAAGTGAGTGGAGAATGAAGTTTCAGGCCCTTCCTGTCCTGGTTCCCCCTCCAACCGCCCACTCCAACTTTTAGGCACACAGAGGGAGCTGCGGGGCTATGCAGGCCCTGCATTGCCACCCACTCCTGAGCTCTCCAGCTCACTCATTTCCCTCCACTCTGACACAGCCCCTGGATACTCGGGACTGATGGGCTGAGGGCAAGGAGGGGAGAGAAAAGTGAACCAAAGGCAGAACTCGCCAAGCGAAGCCACTTACGCACAGTGCGGCCGGCAGCATTTCCATCCTACCTTTGCTGTTGCCATGTCAGCCGGCTCCATGATCCCTGCTTGGCCTAGGGAGCAGCGGCACCATCCAGAGAGAAAAGCAGAGTCACAAACATCCTCCCAGAAAGGACAGACCACCCTTCTGGAAGGCCAGGGGAAAACAGAACTATGTCTCTCTCTAGAAGGCCCTCAGGACATGCTCTGTTGTGGGAGTAAAGAGCCTTTGCAACCCCCAGCAACTCAGAGGACTGCGTTACTACAGATGCCCAGGAGGCCGAGTCAAGGGGCCTCTCCCCTAGCCTGGTACTTCTCTTCCCAGGAGTCGGCATGGGTCGCACCAGGCTCCCCCTGCTGGGGGAGAGGGCGCAGAAAGGGAGGCCCTGCCCTCCCATCACTGCTGGTACCCAGAGGTCAGAATGAGGGGCGCATGTGGGCTCAGGCCGGTTGGGCTGGTTGGTGCTGTGCAGGTGGGGTAGCAGGAAAGCAAAGAGCTTGCGCTGGCGGGGCAGTGTGAGAACCTCGGGAAGACACAGGCACTCAGATGGAAGCAGGAGGGTGCTGCTCAAGGAGGCACCAGAGCCACCAAGCTGGGCCGGCATGGCGAGGCGGAAGGTGCAGAGGGAGAGGAATTCGCCCAGTGAAGCCACTCACCTTGCAATAACATTCAGACTGAATGAGGCCTACACAGGAGCCAGGAGCGGGCGGTTCACACCCCCCCACTCCACTCCCAGAGACTCACAGCCTCTGTCTAAAGGTACATGAGAGCAGCCGGCAGCCTGGCTGGATCTGCAGAGGCCCCTGGCTCTGTCGGAGCAGCCTGATTGGAGGAGCAGGATGACTTCATCCAGCCCCATTCATCACTCTAGGTTTCCTGCCCAGCAGGGACGGCCGATCAGCCTGCAAGGACTACAGCTTCCTCTTCTTGGCTGCTTTACTAGGCAGCCTGGGATAGGTTGTGTCTGTGTTGGGCAGCCAGGGAAGGGGATCAATCAGCATAGCGGCAGCCTCGGGAAAGAGGGGAACAGGCTGCTCACAGTGCTGAAAAAGTACAAGGTTTCTGCTGCAAACACTGCGTATATTCACTGTGAGCATCTGCCAGTGCTGGAGCCAGCATCGGTACAAGGGCAGAATATGACCAGAAACTAGCACGGATGTGAGTGGTGAGCTCTGACCTTCCTGAGAAAGGCAGGGGAGCTACCTCTCCCACCAGGGAAAATAACCATTGGAGAAACAGACCCTGTGCTCCGGCAGCCCTGAGGACCTCCCTGTCCTTTTTCACTGGCACTTGGCTCTAAGGACATCAGTTCCCTCCCTGACCCAGGGGAAGATACAATGTCGGCTCCATTTTACAAATGAGGAACGTGAGACCCAGAAGAAAAGCCAAAGGGTCAACGCAGGACGTCAGCATTTGGGAGCTTATTTCCACCTCGACTTTTGCCTCAGAAATGGTGAGATTCTGAAGAAAATCCCTTTCTCCTTTCCCTACCCCTACTCCAAATCCAGCACCTAGACCATACAAAACCCCAGCAAGGCAAGGGTTAAAGAGATTGAGATATCTGAGAATGAAAGAGAAGGCACTGATGGTGTGATTCCCTTTTCCATTCCAACCTCATGTCCCCTCATTCCTTCCTAGCAGCTTCCTCCTGTTCCAGCTTAACTTCACAACCTAAGCACAGCTCAGGTAGACCAAGCCAGGCCGGGAAAGGGTCATCCACAGGAGCGGCAATGCCAATCATGCAACCATTACACAGTACCTGTGGGTCTCTCTGGACCACAAGAGAAACAAACAGTAAAGACCATGCTTCTTTTCATAGGGCTTCATAATTCACAATGCATTTCCAAATCCATTATTTCCTTGGGAACCCTGGGAGGTCCACACGGTTTCCACCATTTGAAAGATAAACCAAGATCCAGTGACTTGAAATGATTTGCATAAGGTCACACAGTGAGCAGAAAAGAACCAGTACTCAGTCCCATATTCAGAGTTCAAGCCTCTTTCCACTAAACCGCGTAACCTCAAATCTCCCTGAGCTTTGCGATGTCTTTCTCAATTTGCTCCCAACTCCTCCTTTGCCATTGTTTCAGACTCAGAATACAAAACATAATTAATCTGATATTTTCCTTTGAGATTTTTTTTGAAGATGGTAAATTATAAGAAATGCATTATTAAGTAGTAGAAAAAATCTTGGGAATATCCAAAAATTAGTACATATACTTAAAGGAACCTCCTATGCACAGTGAAACTGTTTTCAGATAAAAGGAATCAATGATTGGGGGTGGTGAGACACTATGTAGCCCAGGCTAGCCTTGAATTCCCAGGCAATCCTTCTGCCTCAGCCTTCCAAGTGCTGGGATTACAGACATGTGCTACCATGCCCAACTGGATTAGGCAGAAAAACAGACCAAAATGTCTTACCAAATTTTAATTTAACTACCCAGATTAAAATTAAGGAGAAGGGGGAGCAATATCCCCGTCACTGGAGGTACATATTTTCAGCCATTATAAATATAGAATACATTACTTTTCCCTTTCCCATTTTTATCTTATTCAGATAATAATTTTTAAAAAAACAAAAAGAGGACAGGTCCAACCTCCCTTATCTGAAATGCTTGGGACCTGAAATGTTTCAGATTTCAAAGTTTTTCACATGGGGTATATTTGCATAAACTTCATCAGCTGAACTTCCCTAATCTAAAAATCCAAAATCCAATATGCTCCAAAATCTGAAATACCCTAAAGTTTCACATGCTGAGCATTTTAAATTTCAGATTTCTGGATTAGAGATCTCAACCAGTAGAAGAATTTAGACCAATGGATTCTTTTCTATAACTTGCTGCCTGGTTTTTGTAAGCCCTATACTACGGCGGTGAATGCAATCCACTTGAAAAGGCTAAGAAGCTTTGCTGGCCCCATAGGAGAGGTAATCCAATAGACCCCCTCAAAAATCCAAAACCTCCCTCAAAAATCCAACAGTGTGGGGACTGTGTATTCTCTACAGGCAATTTTCTCTACTCAGAAGCCTGCAAGTCCCTTCTGCCTATTGCTGTGGCATGCATCCTCTCTGTTCCTGGACTGACAGCCAAAGGTACAAACAGAAGGCAATCAGAAGGCTGGTGCCCATGAAGGAGGATGGTCTCTTTCACCAAAACCTCACAGACATCAGACCCATGTTATTGCGAGGCCATGCCATCTCCTCTATGACCAAAAACACTCACCGACTCAGTTCTTAAGGAACTGTCACCCAGCTCCTGCACGGAGGCTCTGTGCAGCTCAGCCAAAGTAACTCATAGGTGGTGAATTCAAGGCAGTAGGGAGAGTCCACTACCAAACAGACACCTAGAAGATGGGGTGGCAGGGGGAGGGATGACGGGCAACAGTGAGAGGGGGAAGAAGAAATACATCTCAAAGTCCAAAGGAAATTCCAAGAACAAAGATTTGTAAAAACTGATGCACAGTGCCCAGTTAGGAAGCCACTGAGGATATGGGCGTGGTGGCACACACTTGTAATCCCAGCACTGGAGAGGCTGAGCAGGAAGATCAAGAGTTCGAGGCCAGCCTGGACTACATAGTGAGACCCTGTCCCAGAAACAAAACAAGCAATAGAAAAAAAAAAAAAAAGCCATCAAATTCACCTCTTTGATATTGACCAGAAAGGATCTGATCTAAATAATTCCTTATAAGGCAAATAACTCCATCCTATGTATTTGCTTTTCACTATCTAGATACTTGAAATTCCTTCTCTAATTTCAATTCATTTCATTTTGCCTATTAGTTAACTAACAAAGAGAAATAACATCTTTTTTTTTTTTTTTTTTTTTTT